AGTAAACCAGTGAATGGGAACATCTCTCTCTCTCTCTCTCTCTCTCTCTCTCTCTGTTAAATATGTAAATAAATAGATAAAATTTAAGAAGGGAATGGGCATTGTGGCACAGTGGTTTAGGCTGCTACTGGGATGCCTACATCCCATATCAGAGTGCCTGGCTTCAGTGCGAGATCCTCCATTTCCTATCCAGCTTCCTGTTACTGTGCATGGGAAGGCAGCAGGGGATGCCTCAAGTACTTGAATTCTTGCTGTCCCTGTGGGAGACCTGGATGAAGTTTTAGGCTTTTGGATTCGGCTCGACCAAGCCCTGGCTGTCGCGGGGATTTGTGGAAGGAACCAGCGGTTGGAAGATCTCTCCTCCTGCCCCGACTCCTGGTCCCATCACTCTGCCTTTCAAATGAAGAAATAAATTTTTTTAAAAAAGACATTTATTTATTTGAAAGCCAGAGTTACACAAAGACAGAAGGAGAGGCAGAGAGAGGTCTTCCATCTGCTGGTTCACTCTTCAGTTGGCCGCAACAGCTGGAGCTACGCTGATCCGAAGCCAGGAGCCAGGAGCCTCCTCCAGGTCTTCCCATGTGGTTGCAGGGGCCCAAGGATTTGGGCTATCTTCTACTTCTTTCCCAGGCCACAGCAGAGAGCTGGATCGGAAGTTGTGTAGCCGGGACTCGAACCGAAGCACATCTGGGATGCTAGCACTGCAGGCCAGTGGTGTTACCAGCTACGCCACAGCACGAGCCCCCAATCTTTTTTCTTTGAAATGTCTGCTCCTTAGGAAAACCATCCCTGACTATCCAGGAACTTTCTGATGCACCACTCTGTCTTACTCTTTCTGCCTAACATTGACATTGTTTTGTTCACTTATTTTTCTTGGCTGCTAGATTGGTCCCCAGGAGCAAAGGGGCCAGAGCCTCATCAGCTGTAAGCCAGTGCTCATTAGGTATGCGCTGGATGAATGAATGAATGAATGAATGGGAGTTGGAGCTGGGCTCTGAGGACGGGCAAACTTCTAGGAGGAGAAAATGAAATGAACCCAGGTGTGAAGTCAGGAATAAGCAGAGAAGGCAGTGGAGGAAGGCCCAAGTGCTCGAGCCCCTGCACCCACATGGGAGACCTGGAGGAAGCTCCTGGATCCTAGCTTAGGCCTGGCCCAACCCTGGTCGTTACAGCCATCTGGGGCATGAACCAGTGAATGGAAGATTCCCTCTCTGTCTCTGTCTCTGTCTCTGTCTCTGTCTCTCTCTCTGCCATTCAAATAAATATATTAATTAATTAAAAAGAAAGAAAGAAAGAAAAGAATGAGCACAGTCTGCCCTGGGAGTGGTCAGCTTAGTTGCAGCGCAGGACCGGGTGGAGTTAGCGAGAAAGGAGGCAGAGGACCCTGGCTGGGTGTGGGCTGTGGGGCACCCTGCAGTCCAATGCGGGGAGCAGGACTCCCTCCTGCTGGGGAGCAGGGAGCCAGTGAAGACTTTTGAACTGAGGAGTGGCCTAATTAAAGCTGTATTTTAAGAAAATTAATCGAGTCTCCTGCAAAACAGACTGAAGCAGGACCAGCTCTGCACGATCTGGGAGACCAAGTGCAAAGTGTTGTTCAAACAGCAGGGGACAAGTGCTGTTAGAGGCACCAAGAGACTAAATATTTTCCTTTCTCCCACAGTTCTTCTCTTGACTTCTTGTGGTGTTTCTCTTTGCTATTAAAAATTAAAAATTAATGGGACCAATATTGTGGCATAGCGGGTAAGGCCACAGCCTGTGATGCTGGCATCCCATATGGGTACCAATTTGTGTCCCAGCTGCTCTAATTCTTCCTTCCTTCCTTCTTTTTCTTTTCTTTTTCTTTCTTTCCTCCTTCCTTCCTTCCTTCCTTCCTTCCATTCTCTCTCTCTCTCTCTCTTTTTAAGATTTATATATTTGAAAGTCAGAGTTACTGAGAAGGGGAGGCAGAGAGAGAGAGAGAGAGAGAGATACAGGGAAATCCATCTTCCATCTGCTGGTTCATTCTCCAAATGGCTGCAATGGTCAGGGCTGGGCCAGGCTGAAGCCAGGAGCAGGAGTTTCATCTGGGTCTCCCATGTGGGTGCAGGGGCCCAAGGACTTGGGCCATCTTTCAGTGCTTTCCCTGCATTAGCAGGGAGCTTGATCGGAAGTGGAGCAGCCAGGACTTGAACCAGTGCACATACGGGATGCCGGTGCTTCAGGCAGCAGCTTTACCCTGTATGCCACAGCACTAGCCCCCTGCTCTCTCTTTCTCTCCCTCTCTGTAACTCTGACTTTCAAATAACTTTCTTTTATTTTTGTTTTGTTTTCAGATTTACTTATTTTGGACATAAATTAACATAGAGAAGAAACATGACTCAGCCAAGACAGGCAGGATGCCCTCATCGCGCACACGGAAAGGTAGAATGATGTTGCTTGTTTTCCGCATTCAAATTAAGTTCTGCTTCCACCACAAAGTGTGGCCTCGCATCTATCAGCACTCTCAATTGTAGACGAGGCCGGTGCTGTGGCTCACTTGTTAATCCTCTGCCTGCAGTGCTGGCATCCCATGTGGGTGCTGGGTTCTAGTCCTGGTTGCTCCTCTTCCAGTCCAGCTCTCTGCTATGGCCCGGGAAGGCAGTGGAGGATGGCCCAAGTGCTTGGGCCCTGCACCTGCATGGGAGACCAGAAGGAAGCACCTGGCTCCTGGCTTCGGATCAGCGCAGCGCTGTCCGTAGCAGCCATTTGGGGGTGAACCACGGAAGTAAGACCTTTCTCTCTGTCTCTCTCTCTCTCTCTAACTCTGTCAAATAAAAATTAAAAAAAAAAATTGTAGATGAACTCACTTAGTTATGTAGACATAACACATTCCCTTCGTGCTTGCTTTGAGTCTAGTGGAACTGCCTTTGAGTCTACTTCCAGGAATCGCAGGTAAACCAGAATTCGTGTGGTGGGGCCAGCATGTCACGTGCACCTGCTCACACCCATGTTCCAGTGTTCCACTGGAGCTTATCTACAAAGCACAAGTTCAAAGATAAAGCTATGAAGAATTTCAAGATGGAGATGGCAAAGCATGCAAGCAAGCAATTCTGAGCTGGGGCCTTTGGCAGCTGAGCAGGTTGCACGTCACGAGCTGGCACCGGACTGGAGGGACTCTGTTTGAGGACAAGAGTGATAGGAGAGATGTTGAGGACCTGGGCCAGGGATTTAGGCTGAGTGTGGAAAGCAAAGAATGTCTCCAAGCAAAAGTGACAAGATTTGAAGCTGGTGATTCTTTTCTTTCTTTCTTTTCTTTCTTTTTTTTTTTTTTTTAAGATTTATTTATTTGAAAGCCAGATTTACATAGAGAGAGAAGGAGAGGCAGAGAGAGAGAGAGAGAGAGAGAGGGAGAGAGAAAGGTCAGTCTTCCATCCATTGGTTCACTCCCCAAACGGCTGCAATGGCCGGAGCTGAGCCAGGCTGAAACCAGGAGCCAGGAGCTTCCTCCAGGTCTCCCACGCGGGTGCAGGGGCCCAAGGACTTGGGCTATCTTCTACTGCTATCCCAGGCCATAGCAGAGAGCAGAATGGGAAGTGGAGCAGCCGGGACTGGAACCGGCACCCACATGGAATGCTGGCACTGCAGGCGGCAGCTTTACCTGCTATGCCACAGCGCCAGCCCCGAAGCTGTAATGCTTAAACAACTCCCTCCTCTCCTCCCCTCCCTGGCAGTGGGCCGCTGCCGCCTTGTGAGAGCTGGCACTTCACTTGAACCTGTCTTGGCCTCTCTTGAAAGACAGCTGCACACAGTCTCCTCAATAAGGAGGTGGGAGGGAAATTCAGGCATGGAGCTGGGGGTGTGGGCCGAACCCCTGAGCAGGCCCGGCTACAGGGCTGGGGTCTCCGGGCCATGCTGGGAACAGGGCTTCAGGAGAACCTGTGCTGGGAAGATGGAGAACCCGCGCCTCTTATAGGGGGTCTTGGGGACGGGATGAGGATTGCCCTCCTGCGGGGGCTTCTGGAGGTCTGTGTGTGGTTTGGTCCAGCATCCCCGCTGGTGTCTCGGCCGTCTTTCCTGGTCTTTGGCTTTTCTCCACTCCTCTCACATCTGGACCCTTCCGGGGCATCTCCTCGTATATCTTAGTGCTTTTCTAACTCCCTGCTTGGGGCCCCATCTTTGAGCAGTCTCTGAGTCTCCCGGGGGTTATCTCTCTCTCTCTCTACTCCACCCATACTCGCCCTGTACCCTTCCTTCCACCCTGTTCCAGTCCAGTATCTGGTGGGGACAGGGGACAGACAGCCTGGTCCCAAAGAGGCGGCAGGGGGGCGGGCCCAAGGGCTAGCTCCATATTTGCATATGCATGAGGTCGCCCTGGCCAACGGCGGGGGGCGGGGCTTCTGGGGGGTGGGAAGGAGGCGGGCACCCTCAGAGCCGCAGAGTATAAAGACCGCGCGCCGAGACCGCGGGCCCCGCACTGCTGAGGAGCGGAGCCTCCGCCCGGGGGACCCTCATCCCAGGCTGTCCCCCAACTGCGCGTCCCCGCCCCACCCTCGCGGCCGAGCCACCACTGGAGCCCTGAGCGGTCACCCACCCCGTTCCTCAGATTCTTGGCATCTTGGATTTCGGGGCGGCCCCCTCCCCCACCTCTCCCTGCCTCTTTGCACCCCGCTGTTCTCTGCGTTTCGCTCGGGTTTCGTAGCCGTCTGTTTTTTCGCACCCCTTTTCGGTTTGCTTCCAGGCGGTCTGAGGGCTGAAGCTGCGTCGCACCCCTCCCCTTGTTATCCATCCCTGCCCTGACAGCTCCCCTTTCCGTCGCAGTCGGGGGGCCTAGCATAGCAGCACCTCCGCCGCGCTGCCAGCACCCCGCCGCGCGTGGCCGTGCACCCGGGGATTCGCAGCAGCTGCATATCTGAGAGGGGGCTCCTTCGCTCCCAGCGCCTCTGTTCCCCGCACGCTCCAGCGCGTGGAGGGCTCCAGCGCGCGGCGCCCCCGCTTCTCCGCAGCCCCCCGCCCCGCGCCGGGACTCGCCCCGCGCCGCCAAGATGGTCATCCAGAAAGAGAAGAAGAGCTGCGGGCAGGTGGTTGAGGAGTGGAAGGAGTTCGTGTGGAACCCGAGGACGCACCAGTTCATGGGCCGCACTGGGACCAGCTGGGGTACGCAGGGTCGGCGCGCGAGGGGCTTGGGGAGGCGGCGAGGCGACGCCTCAGGGGCGCACGATCCTGCCGGCTCGGCCCCAGCTCCCCTCCCGGTTCCCGGCGTCCGGCCCCCCTGCCGGGCTCGGGGCTGGGAGGGGGCCGAATCACCGGTCTAATCTCCCCGGCTGGCCGCTGCGGAGGCGGAGAAAGTAGGTCACTGCCGCCTTCCCGCCCCCCGCGGAGCCCCCTCGGGCGGGGGGTCGCGGGCTCTGCGCGCGTGTCCGCGCCGCGGCGCTCACGCCCTCTCTCGGGGCCTTTGCGCTCTGCGCCGCCGGCCCCCGCCTCGGAAGGGCGCCCCTTCCCTGCCTCCGGCTCCCACCAGCTCGCCAGCCCAGCTATTTTTAGCTCATGCCCACCCCTGGACCCTGGGAACATTCATGAGGGGGCGGGTCTTAGAGGGGGGCGTGTGTGAGGGGGTTCTAAACAGCCGAAGTTGTGGGTCCAGTCTCCCACCTCCTGGTGTTTGGAGTCGTCGGTGGCTGCTTTTTGGATGGAGGGGCTGCAGGGGAGGGTGACCCCCTGGGGCTTTAGGGGCTGGATATTCCGCCCAGATGTCTTTGGAGCTAGGGGCGGCTGGTGAGATGTGCACATCATCGCGGGGTGTGTCTGTGGGAATGGTGGCAGGGCAGGGCTTAGGGTGTGGAGGGAGTTGTCCGTGGTCAGGGGCTTGGCGATGGGCACAGGTGCAGTGAGGGGTGGGATTCTGAAAGGGGTTCACAGGCAGGGAAGTCTGTGCGACACAATTTGCCTTTCATCCACACTGATGGGATGTGATCCCCATCAGCCCACCCACCTGGGGCCCCCAGAGGGGAGTCCAGCGAAATCCCTGCCCTTGGGGGCCAGCCCCTAGGGCTCCATGCATGCTTAGAGAATCTGCAGGGACTTCAGGGAGATGGAAGGGTGTAAAAGCCTGTGGTCTCAGGTGATCGGAGCAGGAGGCCCTTACCACATGCTGAGAGAGCCTGGAGAGGGGAGGGGTCAAAGGAAGGCTGTGGGAACTCTGCCTTCAGGCCCCCTGCTGCCCAGGGCTCGGTGTGTGTGTGTGTGTGTGTGTGTGTGTGTGTGTGTGTTGAGGGTGAGCTGACTGTGCAAGCTTTGCAGCTGTCTCAGACAGAGATCTGGTAGCTAGGCCAGAGTGTCCAGGAGCTGAGTTCCAGGTTTGGTTCCGGGGGCTCCAGGAGAGGGGAGGGTCGCACTGCCGTCAGTGGGTCCAGGCTCTGCAGGGTGGTAGGAGAGCTTGGAGGTGAATGGTGGCCGGGAGCTGCTTCAGAAGGACAGCCTTAGGCACGAGGAGCAAGCAGGATTGCCGGAACAGATGTTGTGCCTTTTCAGGGCCATGCATGGCTGGGAAGTTGGAAACGTAATTGGAGGCAAAATGACAGCGGCCTGTACTTGGGGTTGTCCCAGCAACAAGAGTTTTAGGTCTCTTGTGGTTTTCACAAGGTTGGGCTTCGCTGTGCTCCAGGACCAGGAGGGGGCTGGGAGTCCTGGCTGGAAGCCAGACACAACTGCCTGTTTCCAGTTTGTCTCATTTTGCTCCCTGGGGGACAGCTCTGAGCCGTCCCCTTGGCTCTGCCATCAGCCCAGCGCAGAACTCCTCAGTGGCTGGAAGGGTGTGTGGGGAGAGGTGAGGTCATGGCGGGAGACTTTGAACCTACTGACCCGTTTCCTCCTCCCTAGCCTTCATCCTCCTCTTCTACCTCGTCTTCTACGGCTTCCTCACCGCCATGTTCACCCTCACCATGTGGGTGATGCTGCAGACTGTCTCTGAACATACCCCCAAGTACCAGGACCGACTGGCCACACCCGGTGAGTGAGGGGCTGCCACGCCCTCAGCCCTCTCAAACACTCGCCGCGGCGTTCCGGCGTTTGCTTCCGGTGAGCCACTCCCTGTGTGCTGGGGAGCTGTGCTTTTCTGCACCTTGCCCTGGTGTCTCCATGCCCATCTTCTTCCCTCTGAGTGTGGCCCCTCATCTTCCATGACCCCCCACTCCCACCCATGTCTGCTGCTGTAGGCTTGATGATTCGCCCCAAGACTGAGAACCTTGACGTCATTGTCAATGTCAGTGACACTGAAAGCTGGGACCAGCACGTCCAGAAACTCAACAAGTTCTTGGAACGTGAGTGTGGGGCTGGCTCTGTGGTCGTCTGGGACCTTGGGCAGGGGGTTGGAGCCCCACCTTGGGCTTGTGACTTTTCTGCTTCCTTCTACCTCCTTAGCTTACAATGACTCCATCCAAGCCCAAAAGAATGATGTGTGCCGCCCCGGGCGCTATTACGAACAGCCGGATAACGGAGTCCTCAACTACCCGAAACGCGCTTGCCAATTCAACCGCACTCAGCTGGGCAACTGCTCTGGCATCGGGGACCCCACCCACTACGGTTACAGCACTGGGCAGCCCTGTGTCTTCATCAAGATGAACCGGGTACCGTGACCTTTGTCCTCGGGGGGCCACCGTCCGCTGACACCTGTGTCTGGTCACTGGGGCTGCCAGGCCTCAGAGAGATTTTTGGATATTTGAGGAGTTGAGAGAAGAGGAAGGTGGGGCCGTGGGAGGCTGAGCTTGGCAGCTGGACGGTTGGATGCCCGTGGCGGTGACAGCTTCCCTAACTGTCACCACCGTCCCTCCTCACTGCAGGTCATCAACTTCTATGCAGGAGCCAACCAGAGCATGAACGTTACCTGTGCCGGGAAGGTGAGTTGGCGTGGCCCTGCTTCCTGCTTCCCTGTGTGTTCTTGGTGGTTTCCGTGTGACTCGCTCATGTCTCCGTTATTTTCTTTGCTTGCCAGAGGCCCCTACACTATAGGGACAAGGGGGTAAGAGGGGGCTTCAGTGTGGCTTCGCCTCCAAGGGGCTCCCGCACCTCTTGCTTCCCTAGGATGCAGATGCCCGCTCTCAAGGGGTTAAACACACGCCTCGTCCTCCTCCAAAGTCTTGACTTCTGGCCTCTCCCTCTAGCCTCCTGCCTTCTCCTTCTCCTGCCCTGGTCGTCTGTGTCCCTGCCCTCCCTCGTGTCTCGCTCCTCTCCGCCAGTTCCCTGTAGATCCCTGGTAGCCGCTGCTCTCTCTGCACCATCTGCCACCCCTAAGCGTCCCTGGTGCCCGGCTCCCCCACTTCGTCCTCCCTAGAAACCTCTGCCCCTCCCCATGCTGTCCCCTCCCTGCTTCCCCCGAGAGCTCACCCGTTTGTCTGTTCTCTCTTGGCTCTGCTCCAGAGACCGATTCCTGAGGATGGGGTAAGAACTGGGGCAGGAGTAGAGTAGGAGGCCTTGGTGTCCTTAGCATCTTTTTAGGGGTTCGCTGTGTGATGAGAACCGGGCTACCCGTTCACACACTTGCACAGGCACCTAGCACTCCACAGCTCAAGGCAGGGATAACTTGGGGCAAAGAAAAAGCCAAGAGGAGTATAGTGAGCTTTGGGGTGCCTTCCCTAAAGCGCTCACCCCTCCCGCTTCCTGTACCCGCACAGCGAGATGAAGACGCTGAGAATCTGGGCAACTTCGTCATGTTCCCAGCCAATGGCAACATCGACCTCATGTACTTCCCCTACTACGGCAAAAAGTTCCACGTAAGTCGGGGAGCGGCCGGGGATGGTGACTCCTCGGGAGACACAGGGGGCATTGGGGAGAAGGTGGGGCTGCTCTAGGCCTAGACCCTTGCTCCCCTGTGGCCCAGGTGAACTACACACAGCCCCTGGTGGCCGTGAAGTTCCTGAACGTGACCCCCAATGTGGAGGTGAACGTGGAATGCCGCATCAACGCCGCCAACATTGCCACTGATGACGAGCGGGACAAGTTCGCCGGCCGCGTGGCCTTCAAACTGCGCATCAACAAAACCTGAGGCCCCTTCCTCTCACCCCCACCTCTCTCCTGTGGATGCTTCTGGAATGTCCCTGACCCTGCCTGATCCCTCCCTCACCCACCCCAAAGGTATTTTTTATAACAGAGCTATGACTTGTCTGAGCCTCACACCTTTCTCCTTGACTTCTGATGTGCGCTGTGACCCCCCTGGCTACACACATTCCCCCCACCCCAACTTCCTCCAACCTTAGCTCGGCTGGATCGGGGAGGTGGGTTACCCAGAAGGCCGCGGAGTGGTTGGTTCTGCTGTGGTTGCGAGTGGAGTGCCCTTGCAGCTACCACTTCTGCCCCCCTTTCCCTTGGGTGCTACAGAAAACACCCACTTACCCCCTGCCCTACACACATGCACACACACCCACACACACGCACACACACACACGTCCCTTGTGTCAGCCCTCGTCTTTCTCACCTCCGTTCCCTTAGCTTCTGCCTCTGTTCCTTTCTGTCCCCACCCTCCCGCTTGGTCCACGCTGTCCCTGTCTTGAAGGATTTTGACCTCTCTGGCTCGCTCCCTAGTCCCGCCTCTGGAAGGCAGCCATTGGTCGGTGCCTGAGCACAAGGTGGTTGGTTCTGTGGCCTTGCCCCTCTTCCCTGGCCCATCCTGTTTCTTCTCACCCCATGGTGACCCCATCAGCTGGAAAACAGGGACTGGAAATGGAGTCCCTAAGGATCCTTCTCGAACATCCTCTAGCGCCCCCTGGTTCCCTCCCTGTCCCTCCTGTCACCCCCAAGAGCCAGGACTGACTCAGGAGGGCAGGGTTGACCTGGGCTGAATTCTGTTTCTTTCGATGGCGCCCTTCCCCCATTTGCCTTCCCAGAATATCCTTCAAGTTCCACTTCCCAGGGAGCTCTGGGGGAGGGGTGGCCGTCTTGGCCCCGTCCCTAGTGGCTACCTTGGGAAACGTGCTTGGTGTGGGACTGCTCCACCTCCCTCCCCGAGCCACAGCGGTGGCCCCCACTGTCCTCTCTCTCTGGCCTTAGCAAGTTATCAACAAATCACTAATCCCTTCCGTCTCCTACGCATGCCATCCCCAAAGTTTCAAATGCCCGCCTCCGTCCAGGATCCGAATTTCTCGGCTCCGTCTCTCCCAGCTCTTCTGCCTTTACAGGAAACACCCCAGAACGCCCCCAGAATGTTCAGCGAGGGCCCCCTGCCCCGAGTGTCCTTAGCTTCTGAGGCATTTTAACCTTTTCTCCCCTTGTCCCTTCACCTCCTGATCTCTCTAACCCCCCTTTCCTCTGTTAATGCTGCCCCGCCTCCCCCCACGGGCCCCTCCCTTCTCCCTCTTGCTGATCCACGTCTCTTCCCATTGGGTCCCCAGCTTTCCTGCACCCACCCCTCCCCCAGTGGTCTCTCTCTCTGCAGTTATTTAATGCCTGTGTCAGATCTACTGTAAAAAGAGGATAAAGTACAATAAAATGAGAGCAACTATATATATAAATATATATCACACACAGAGCCCTGTGTGCCGGTTGTTCCTTTCTGAGCCCTGGGAAGAGAGTGGAGGGGGTTTGTGGGCGATTCCAGGGTTACCCATGTTTGGGGGTTGCTTCCTGCCTTTGTCTCTTCCTTCCAGTGCCCAAGCATCCTGTCCCCTCTCCTTCACCTCGACTAATGTTGTAAGACATTTTTATTTATTAAAAGACAGAGGGGCCAGTGCTGTGGTGCAGCAGGTTAAAGCCCAGCCTGCAGTGCCGGCATCCCATATGGGCGCCAGTTTGAGTCCTGACTGCTCCACTTACAATCTAGCTTCCTGCTAATGCGCCTGGGAAAGCAGCTGAGGATGGCCCAAGTGCTTGGGCCCCTGCACCCATGTGGGAGACCCAGAGGAAGCTCCTGGCTCCTGGCTTCAGATTGGCCCAGCTCCTGCCATTGCGGCCATTTAGGGAGTGAACCAGCAGATAGAAGACCTCTCTCTCTCTCTGCCTCTCTGTAACTCTGCGTTTCAAATAAAATAAATAAATTTCTATTAAAAAGAGAGAGAGAGACAGAGAGACAGTGACAGAGACCTTACATTTGCTGGTTCATTCCCAAATGCTGGCAGCAGCCAGGGCTGGTCTTAGCCAAAACCAGAAGCCTGGAACTCAATCTGAGTCCCACGTGGGCGGCAGGGGCCCGCGTACTGGAGCCATTATCTGTTGCCTCTCCCGGTGCGCATTAGCAGAAAGCTGGGTCCCAAGTGGAAGGGCCAGGATCTGAACTCAGACGCTCTGATACGGGATGTGGGGGTTCCAAGGGTGTCTTAACTGCCAGCGGCCTGCCTCGCCTTGGCTGGCTTCGTACACAACATCTTGAGGTCATTCAGTGCAACAGCGGGAGGATGTCTACACTCCTTCATTCAACCGTACTCACAAAGTGCCTACTGTGTGCATTCTAGGCACCATGAAGACACACTTATGAAGGAGGCAGAGTTCCTGCCCCCAAGGAGCTCCCCAGTTTAACGGAAAAGGTGAGGAACACACGAGAAACTCATACAAGGTAGAGCGAAACGTGATCCAGGAAGGGGAGAAAGCTGGTGATGAGAAAATTCCCGGACCAGCCACTCCCTGCTGGGGGCCTCAAAGGGAAGCTTTCTTTTTTTAAAGGTTTATTTTAGTTATTTGAAAGGAGAGTTACAAAGAGAGAGAGGGAGAGACAGAGATATCTTCATCCTCTGGTTCACTCCCCAAATGGCTGCAACAGCTGGGGCTGGGCATGGCTAAAGCCAGGAGCGAGGAGCTCTCTCTGGGTCTCCCAGGTGGGTGCAGGGGCCCAAGCACTCTGGCCATCTTCCGCTGCTTTCCCAGGTGCACTAGCAGGGAGCTGGATCAGAAGTGGAGCAGCCAGAACTGGAGCCGGTGCCCACACGGGATGCCAGCAGCACAAGGTTTAACCTGCTGCCCCACAGAGCTGGTCCAGGAAGCGTTCTTAGAAGAGGCAGCATTGAAGCTGGGGCAAAAAGGATGGGTGGTTTATGGTGAAACGAACATCATCAAATGCTTAGAGACAGATGGGAGAAGTTAAATAGAAGAAACATTGACCTCAAAACAAGATATCAGACCTGCAGGAGCCTAAGTTTGTATACAAAGACACAGGACAGAAGAGTGGGTGGTTAGACACAGCAGTTATATTGCTCGATAAGGGGAGGGGAGGAATTTATGACTTTTTTGTTAAGTATTTCTTTATTTGAAAGGCAGAATTGCAGAGAGGGTGGGGGGAGACTTTCCATCTACGGGTTCACTCCCCATGTGGCCCCAATTGCTGTGGATGGACCAGGCCAAACCAGGAGTTTGGAACTTCATTCGGGTCTCCCAGGTGGGTGCAGGGGCCCCAGCACTTGGGCCATCTTCCGCTGCTTTCCCAGGTGCACCGGCAGGGAGCTGGATCAGAAATGGAGCAGCCTGGGTGTGAACAAGGGCCCACATGGGAAGCCAGAAGCACAGGCAGTTGTTTAATCTGCTGCTTCATAATGCTGGCTCCTGATTTTCTTTTTTTATTTTTGTGGATATTTTTTGCAATCAGTTGGTATTGCCATTTGCTTTGAAAAATAGTTTTTTTTCTTTTTCTTTTTTTTTTTGACAGGCAGAGTTAGACAGTGAGAGAGAGAGAGAGAGAAAGAGAAAGGTCTTCCTTTTTCCATTGGTTCACCCCCCAAGTGGCCGCTACAGCTGGTGTGTTGCGGCTGGTGCACTGCGCCAATCGAAGCCAGGAGCCAGGTGCTTCTCCTGGTCTCCCATGGGGTGCAGGGCCCAAGGACCTGGGCCATCCTCCACTGCCTTCCCGGGCCATAGCAGAGAGCCGGACTGGAAGAGGAGCAACCGGGACAGAATCCGGTGCCCTGACTGGGACTAGAACCTGGGGTGCTGGCGCCGCAGGCGGAGGATTAGCCTAGTGAGCCGCAGCACCGGCCGAAAAGTAGTTTTATTACATATTCATATATACAAGGGTGCTTAAAAAGTCATGGGAAATGGAATTTAGATATTTTGGTGCAAAACTTTTTTTAAAGATTTTATTTATTTTATTTGAGAGGTAGCGTTATAGGCAGTGAGAGGGAGAGACAAAGAGAAAAGTCTTCCTTCCGTTGGTTCACTCCCCAGTTGGCTGCAATGGCTGGAGCTGTGCTAATCTGAAGCCAGGAGCCAGGAGTTTCTTCTGGGTCTCCCATGTGGGTGCAGGGGCCCAGGGAGTTGGGCCATCTTCTACTGCTTTCCCAGGCCATAGCAGAGAGCTGGGTTGGAAGTAGAGCAGCTGAGACTAGAACTGGTGCTCATATGGGATGCCAGCGCCGCAGGCGGAGGATTAACCTGCGCCACGGCACCGGCCCCTGGTGCAAAAAATTTTTTAAGTCTGGGGCCAGTGCCCTGGCGCAGTGTGTTAAGCCGCTGCCTGCAGTTCCAGCAACCATATGGCACTGGGCTGCTCCACTTCCAATCCAGCTCCCTGTTAATATGCCTGGGAGAGCAACAGAGGGTGGCCCACGAGCTCGAGCCCCTGCACTCACATAGGAGGCGGAGATGAAGCTGCTGGTTCCCGGCTTCAGCCTGGTCTAGCCCTGATCGGTGTCTCTGCAGCCATTTTGGGAGGGAACTAGTGGATGAAAGATCTCTCTCTCTTTCTCCCCACCTTGCTGCAACTCTGACTTTCAAATAAATAAATAAATAAATAAATAATTTTTTTTTTTTTTTTGACAGAGTGGACAGTGAGAGAGAGACACACAGAGAAAGGTCTTCCTTTTTCCATTGGTTCACCCTCCAATGGCTGCCGTGACTGGGGCACTGCGGCCGGCGCATCGCGCTGATCCAAAGCCAGAAGCCAGGTGCTTCTCCTGGTCTCCCATGGGGTGCAGGGCCCAAGCACTTGGGCCATCCTCCACTGCCTTCCCGGGCCATAGCAGAGAGCTGGCCTGGAAGAGGGGCAACCGGGACAGAATCCAGCACCCCGACCGGGACTAGAACCCAGTGTGCCAGCACCGCAAGGCGGAGGATTAGCCTAGTGAGCCACTGCGCCAGCCAATAAATAAATCTTTATAAAAATTTTTTTGAAGTCTGAAAAATTTTTTTCATAGTATATATTTTCCATGGACATTTTTAATCATAAAGATAATTAATTAATCTGGGAGGTATAGAG